GCAGAACAGTTGGTAGTTTCAAACTGCTGACCTTGCGGTTCGCAGCCCGATTCATAACCACTGCACTACCAGAGCTCCTGATCAGGTGTTCCTGATATAAGTCATGGTATTTTCAGTCACGTCAAATGCATGTGAAAGCTAGACAATGAATAAAGAAGGCTGGGGAATTTTGGTGTTGGTGAATAATACTGAAATTAGCCACAAGAACAAACAAATGTTTTGGAAGAAGTACAATCAGAAAGTTTCTTTCTCTCATATACTTTGGACAAATGATCAGGAAACATGTCCCTGGGAAAGGACATCATGATTGGAAAAGTGGAGGGCCACCTAAAAAGAGGAAAACCCTCAACAAGATGAATTGACACAGTGGCAACAACAGACTCAAACATAACAATTATGAGGAAGATGCAGGCAGGGCAGTGTTTGTTCTGTTGTATACAGGTTTACTATGAATTAGAACCAATTCACTGGCACCTAACAACAACATGGAGTCCTGGTGTGATGCTGTGGGTTAATGCACTGGACTTCAAAGTCGGTTTGAACTGCAAGGTTAGTGGTTCAAGCTTACCAGTCACTCCTTGGAAACCCTATTCAGGGTCGCTATGGGTCGGAACCGATTCGATGGCATTTAACAACAATACCATGATCTAGTCCTTGTAGCTTTGAGACTTTGGAAACATGATGCAAAAACTATGGGCACCAAGCAATGTTCTATAAGCCCAAATACCAATTTACTAAGAATTATGACCTTTAATTGAGCTGTGCCTTCTCACTGACTGGACAAGTGAATTCTGCATTGTTGTTGTTGCTATGTGCCATTGCATCAGTTTCAACTCATAGCCCCCTGTAGATTGGAATCTACATGGTCCTGCACCATCCTCAGTCTTTACTGGTTTTGAGCCCACGGTTGCAGCCACTGTGTTAATTCAGCACAGTGAGGGTTTTCCTCTTTTTTGCTAATCAACTATCAAGGATGACATCTTTCTCAGGGGACTAGTCTCTCCTGGTGACATTTCCAAGTATGCGAAATGAAGTCTTGCTGCCCTTGCTTCTAAAGAGCATTCTGCCTGTTCTGATTCAAAGGCAGATTTGTTTGTTCTTCAGAAAGTGCATGGTATAGTCAATATAACACCATAACTTGGAGACATCAATTCTTCTTTGATCTTCCTTATTCATTCCAGCTTTTGCAGGCTTCCTGAAAGTAACAGCTGCTTTTGAACACTTGAAAAAGAACTTTTGTAGCACATTTGTTCAATGCAGTACACTGTTTGATTTCTTGACTGCTGCCTCCATGCTGCTTCCTTGGGTCCAAGTAAAATGAAGACTGCACAAGAATGAGGGTAGTTTTACATTTGAAATTAAAAAATGTTTGAGTACTAGATGGCAAATGGGAGTATCTTTCACCAAAAAGTGTGCTGAACAGGTGTTCTCCACCTCCCCTAGTCACTGCTTGGGTGAACACTGTTAACACTTGTCTCAGCAGTTGATGTTGGTCTTTGTTGGCCACAAAATTACTCCTACCATGACTCAGTACTCTTTGGTAATTCTAGCTACGGGTAACAAGACTGTTAACTGTAAAACTAATAAATGTAGTGGAATCATTCTTTAAAGCTTAAACATGTAACTTAAAAATATGTTTCTATATATACACATAAGGAAATCTGATAGCATAGTGGGTTACAAGTCGGCTGCTTGGGAGCAAGGTCAGCTGCTGCGTGGGAGAAAGACGAGGCTCAGAAACTCCACACAAGATTGCTATGAGTCAAAATCAGCTCCAAGGCACGTAACCACCACCACCATACACACACGCACACACACACACACATCTCATGGTGTTTTAGGGGAGTGTGGTGGCTCTATAGGATAAGCACTGGACTGCCAACCACAAGGTCAGCAGCTCGAGCCCATGAGCTGCTCTGCGCGAGATGCGACTTTCTGCTCCCGCAAAGATAACAGCCTCAGAAACCCATTCTTAAGTTCTGTCAAGTCAAGTCCAACTCATATGGACCCTGTATATGGAGTCCTGATATGGCACTATGATATAAAGCACTGGACCACAGGGTCAGTTTGAACCACAAGTTTGGCATTTCAAACTCACCAACCATTCCTTGGAAACACTATAGAGGGTCATTATGAGTCAGAACCAACTCAACAGCACTTACCAACAACATAGGATTTCCAAGACTGTTATCTCTTGCTCCATGGGAAAAGGATGAAAATTCCTACTCCTGTGAAGATTTACAGCCTTGGAAACCCTATGGGTGGTGGTAGTTATATGCCGTGGAGTTGGAACCGACTCACAGCGTCTGTATAGGGTTTCCAAGGCTGTAAATCTTTATGGGAGCAGAAAGCCTCATCTTTCTTCTGCGGAACAGCTGGTAGTTTCGAACTGCTGACCTTAAGGTTTGCAGCCCAATTCGTAACCACTACGCTACCAGAGCTCCTTTGGAAACCCTATATATGGAAACCCTGTATACAGTTGCTATGAGTCAGAGCAAACTCCACAGAATTTAACAACAGTACAATTTCTCTTAAATTATGTTGAAATATTTGCCATGAATATTTAAAAGACAAAAAAAATCAGTAATAAACAAAATGACATTTTAAATCTTTATTGATAACAATTTTGTTCATGAACTAATCTATTTATATATATACATCCTTCAGTTTATAGCCAAGCACTTCTCTCAATATTAAAACCTACAAAAGGAATTTAACTACTTATCAACAGCAGGTACATATGGAAGGTCTGAAATGAAAAATATTTTCTAACATACTTAATATTAATCCTCTTTAAAATATTAAATGGAAAAACCTGCAATTAAAAAAAAATAAAAGCCACAAAAAATAAAATAACTATTCTGTACAACTTGTTTATATCAAAAAACTAAGAAAAGTCATCATGACATTTTGTTAGGATCTCCACTCTCCTGAGAGACAGCAGAGAAAGCTGCAAATGACAATTGTCAAAGCCATGTTCTCAGGTTTTGTAAGGTTTGATTTATTTTTTTGTTATAAAACTGTGAGATTGAAATATTCTTTCATAACGTCATATTTTGATTTTTTTACTACTAATATATGACATACTGGTGTGGCACTGTAGGATAAATAGGACTGGGGGTTCAAGCCCACCAGCTGCTCCTTGGAGACGATGCAGGGTAGCTATGAGTCAGAAACTGACTCGACGGCACTTAACAACAAAAGATGCTACTCATTTATTTTGTTAGAAATGATTCACAGGTCCTAACATACTATATTGGACTATCTTATTCACAAAAATTAACTATCCATAGTCTTATTATATGAGTATGTGTCTGATAATTACATATCAGAAGTAAAAATACATTATTTAATATTGACCCAATATTTAGTACATTTTGTGATTAAGTTTCTACTGACTTTTTAAAATATTAGCTAACCTAAGCTAACCTAATAATCAGGATTTCTTTTTTTTAAAAACTAAGCAAATATTTAGTCTCTACTCCTAATAAGTCTCACTTTTATTATTGCTTTTTCGCTTTTGTATTATCTTATCATTGGAAACCTAATGATAGACTTCTATAAGTTATCAAAGGTATAAAGAGATATGGGGTCCTGGTAGCATAATGTGTTATATGTTAGGCTGCTAACTCCAAGGTCGGCAGTTCGAATCCACCAGCTTCTCTGCACGATAAAGATGAGGCTTTCTGCTCCCATAAAGATGTACAATCTCGGAAACCCTATGTAGGGTCACTATGAGTGGGAATCGAACTAAAGGCATCTGCAGCTGCAACAGCAGCAGGTGCAGTGCTGGAGAAAAGCACGGAGTGTTAACTACGTTAACCACAGGTCGGTAGTTCAAACCCACCAGCTGCTCCTTGGAAAGCCTATAAAGAACTGATTCAATGGCACTTAACACCAACAACGAAATATGGAGAATTCCACAAAATAGCATGATAGGTAAGTTAGTTTAGAAACAAAACAAACAACAAAGCAAAAACCAGCACACAAACATAACAGAACTCAGCACATAGATTAAAAAAGAAAACCCCACTGCCATCTAGTTGATTCCAACTCACTACCCAACAGAACAGAGTAGAACTGCTCCACAGGTTTCTGAGGCTGTAAATCTTCACAGAAGTATACAGCCTAACCTTTCTCTCTCAGTGAGGCTGGTGGGTTTGAACCACAGACTTTTTGGTTAGCAGACCAGTGCTTAACCCATTGTGCCACCCGCACACCTTCATAGATTTTTACTAGTTGGTAAAGCTTTGACCTGCCAGCATTACACTGGCTAAGCTGACAAAATTAATTTTACTTACCCATTCTACCATGATAGTTGATCTTACACATTCAGACTAGATTCTCACATAACTACAGCCAACACTTTTTAAGAATTAGTTGCCTGTCTTTATTTATTGGTCATAGCATGTTATATAGTAGGCAGAGTTTTCTTTTATGATTTTGGTGTGATGGATAATCACAACATTATTTACTACTCAAAGAATTAAAAAATATTTATTGACTTGAGCAGAATGTTTTCTAAGAAAATATTTGGCAAATCTGAAAAATAAATAAATCTCCAATTTATGTGGCTTTCTTTTTTTGTTGATTTTTACTTAACTGAAAAACTTGGACCACATGATATTGTTAAGTATTTGTAGTTTTGAGAAACTATATATTATTTATCTGTCGCTACAGTGCCTAGTACAATACATAGTGCCTAGTACAAAATGTTGAGCTCCCTAAATATACGGACTAGTTAATCACAAGGTTTAAAACGATGAACTTCTAAGATTTCTGTATTTCTCTAATATTGTTATTTTAAGAAAACATACTTTATGACCATCTCTCTGCTCCTCAGAAACCTTAACACAGAGTCGCTATGAGTCAGAAACCACTCTACAGTGGTCAACAACAAAAAACTTAAAAATTTACCAGTTGCTTAATTTGTTCAGTTTGTAATGACTGTCTCCTTAATAACATTTTTTTACTTTTGAATTCTTTTGGGAAAATAGGAACTGTTGGCATAAGCACTTTCTGACCACAAGACAGAAGACTGGAAATCTTGTTAACATTGATATCTGAGACGGGAGGATGAGAGTTTACATTTAAGGGTGGCAGAAATCCTGGTCTGGTTTGTGTAATATTGTGATCTAAAGCAAAAGCCCCAGAACCACGTCTTTCTAAAACTGCCTGATTTCTCCTGCTCAGGGGACCTGGAGGGATGTTCTCTAACAATTCTTTGGAGCCTGACAACAAAGAAGGAGATGGTGAGAGGATCTTTTTCTTTCCTGTAAGTGCTCTGCTCTCTTCTAAAGTTGTAGGGGTAGGACCAGCTGAGAGCTGGGAATCAGAACTATAGTGATTTGCTCCTGAGTTTCTTTTCTGAACGACACTTCTTAAGGTAGAAGCAAATATTGTCTGGTTAGTTTCTGGGTCCGGATCAACAGGGATTTCACCACCATGCTGAGTGCCTTCTGAAAAGAATGACTGATAATTTATTTCATCATACGACATCTTTCTTGAACCAGCCTGATCTAAGGCTCTTAACAAATGTGCAGTGTCTTTTACATCAATGCTTTGGTGCCTAGTGATGAATCGCTTGGAAAGTGACAGCCCATTGGTTTTGTAAGATAATTCCTCCTCTGGAGTAATATCCTGGAGCTCCTCTTGCAAAGAGGCCACTCTGTTCTGGTGCATTAGTGAGGGGGCACTCTTGATCCAGGGTGGAGCCTGGGGGAGCTTGGACCCATTAGAGATTGTCACAGGCTTCCACACTGGGGAGCCTGGTTCCCAGGTGTCATCACTGCTTCCGGAGGCCTCCAGATCTTTAAAGACAAAAGGAGTCATTTCCATATCAGGAGAATGTGGTGATCCGGTAGTGGTTACATCTATTTCTGAAGGCGTAGCACAAGAGGCTTCAGGATGACTCCCATCTAAATCTCCTGGAGGCGTATTCAAGTACTGCTTGGTAGTGTACCTTCCAGAGGCTGACTTTGCTGTTGTTATGATAATGACGTCTTTCCCTTTTGCTTTGCAAGCACGAAGTAGAACTTTCAGTGTGTTTCTGTCTTCTGAATTTATAGCATAAACAAGCGCAGAGTAATTAGAGTGGTCTTGCAAAGTAAGGTCAGCCCCACTCTTCAGAAGCAAGGCAACCACTTCAGGACCAGCTTTTTCTAAGCAAGCGTGCATCAAAGCGGTTTTCCCAGATTTGTCCTGTATGTTTGGATCAGCATTATTTTCGAGCAGGTATTTCACCATTTTGGCTTTACTGACACTCTGGTGATCAACATGTCTGGTCTTACAAGCAATCATTAAAGGCGTTTCCCCACGATCATTGCTTTCATTAATGTAGGCACCACCTTCTAGCAGGAGTCTTGTGAGGCGAAGCCGGCTCTGATGGACTGCTTTGATCAGGGAATTCGCATCACTGGAAATCTCTATGCCTTCATCCATCTTCAAAAGTCAGAAATCAATACCTGGTTTCCAGAGAAGAAGAAGATCACAAGATTAGCTAGATACAGCACTCCCATTTCTATTAATTAGTTGCTATTCAGAACTGGTTTCTAAAATATTTTTCAGAGGAAAACGAGTGCTTTCAAAGGATACAAATTAGATTATGCAATTAATGAGTACAATGAAAATAGCAACTAGTAAAAGAGAAGGAATTTTAGAATAGTAATTTCCTTGAGGGAGGTGTGAACCAAAATGTATTTTCAAAATCTTCATTGGTATACAACAAAATGTGCAAAGATCTGGAATCAGGAAACCAAAAAGGAACAACATGCTCAGCATTCCTCAAGCTGGGGGAACTGAAGAAAAAATTCAAGCTTCGACTTCCGTTATTGAAAGATTCTCTGGGAAAATTATTGAATGATGCAGAAAGCATCAAGACAAAATGGAAGGAATACACAGAGTCACTGTACCAAAAGGAAATAGTTAATGTTCAACCATTTCAAGAGGTAGCATATGATCAAGAGCCAATGATACTGAAAGAAGAAGTCCAAGGTGCACTGAAGGAATTGGCAAAGAACAAGGCACCAGGAATTGATGGAATAAAAATGGAAATCTTTCAAGAAAGTGACGCAGTATAGGAGGCACTCACTCATGTCTGCCAAGAAATTTGGAAGACAACTATCTGGCCGAATGATTGGTAGAGATCCGTATTTGTGCCCATTCCAAAGAGAGGTACCCAACGGAATGCAGAAATCATCGGACAATCTCTTTGATATCCCATGCAAGTAAAGCTTTACTAAAGGTAATAGAGAAAGGACTGCAAGCATACATTGACAGAGAACTTCCAGAGGTTCAAGCCGGATTCAGAAGAGGCTGTGGAATGAGGGATATCATTGCTGATGTCCGATGATTCTTGGCTGAAGGCAGAGAATTTCAGAAAGATGTTTACCTGTGCTTTATTGACTACACAAAGGCTTTTGATTGTGTGGATCATGACAAGCTATGGACAACACTGTGACGTATGGGTATTCTGGAACACTTAATTGTGCTCATGAGGAATCTATACCTGGACAAAGAGGCAGTTGTTCAAACAGAACATGGGAACACTGAATGGTTTAAAATTAAGAAAGGTATGTGACAAGGTTGTATTCTTTCACCATATTTATTCAACTTGTATGCTGAGCAAATAATACGAGAAGCTGGGTTATATAAAGAAAAACATGGCATCAGGATTGGAGGAAGACTCATTAACAACCTGCGATATGCAGATGATACAACCTTGCTTGCTGAAAGTGAAGAGGACTTAAAACATTTACTGATGAAGATCAAAGAGCACAGCCTTCTATATGGATTACATCTCAATGTAAAGAAAACAAAAATCCTCACCACTGGACAAATAAACATCATTCTTATCAGTGGAGAAAAGATTGAGGTTGTCAAGGACTTCATTCTTCTTGGATCAACTATCAACATTCATGGAAGCAGCAGTCAAGAAATCAGACGACATATTCCATTAGGCAAATTTGCTGCACAAGACCTTTTTAAAGTGTTGAAGAGCAAAGATGTCAGCTTAAAGACTAAGGTGCACCTGACCCAAACCAGGGTATTTCCAGTAACCTCATATGCATTTGTGAAAGCTGGACACTGAATAAGGAAGACCATAGAAGAATTGATGCATTTGAGTTATGGTGTTGGAAGAGAATATTGAAAGTGCCATAGGCTGCCAAAAGAACCAACAGATCCGTTTTGGAAGAAGTGCAGCCAGAGTACTCCTTGGAGGCCAAGATGGCCAAGTTTCGTCTCTCATACTTCGGACATATTGTCAGGAGGGACCAGAGGCTGGAGTGGATATCATGTCTGGTAAGGTGGAGGGTCAGAGAAAAAGAGAAAGACCCCCAATGACATGGATTGGCCAAGTGGCAGCATCGATGGACTCAAGTGTGGCAACAATAGTGAGGTTGGCCCAGGATCTTTCGTTCTGCTGTGCACAAGGTCACTATGAGTTGGTGCCGACTCAATGGTACCTAACAACAACAGAAGTCCCATGTTAATTTATTTTTTCAGTTGAATCATTTGTTTTTTTATTTTGTTTAAACTGTTCTATTTTAAATTATGTGATAGTTTACATGGAAGAACATTAGCTTTACATTCATCCTATCTTATATCGTTACATTGCCATGGTTACAATCCTCTCCATACATCATCAACCAACCAAAGGGTACACTCCACAAGCCTGCCCCTTGGTCGTCAGCACACAGTCCCTCTCCCTCTCTGGGTCTAACGTCCCCAGCCACTCCATCTCTCCACGTCATCATCTCTGCTTCCATCTCTGGCATCATTGTTTCTCTGGGTAGTGTCCCATACTCCACTCTTCTCCCTTGATGAGTCCCATGTTTATTTAAAAATTATTTTCTATTCATGAAAAATATTTTGAAAATTGTTATTTGGAATATAAATGTAAACAAAACCCCAAAATTCTGTGTAATTACAATTAAATTAATTAAAATACAACATTTATGGTAATTAACAGTAAAAACAAAAACAACAAAAAAAACCCCACCACTTATCTGTCAGTTTGTTCTACTGTGGTGACTTGTGTGTTGCTGTGATGCTAGAAGCTATGCCACTGATATCTCAAATACCAGTAGGGTCAACCATGGTGGACAGGTTTCAATGGCGCTTCCAGACTAAGGGAGACTAGGAAGAAGGATTTAATGGTCTACTTCTAATACAAAGGAGAAAAAAAAATTGACCAGAGAAAACCTTATGAATAGCAGAGGAACATTTTCAGATATAGTGCCAGTAGATGAGCTCTCAGGTTGGAAGGCATTCAAAATACAACTAGGATAGAGCTGTCCTCTCAAAGAAGAGTAGAAAGATCAAGGAAAGCAAGACCTTAAGAAGACACTATAAGGATGGTAGGGCTTGATGGCAGATTAGGGAAAAAGGCTGTGCAGATCTCTGCCAGTAATAACATGGAATACCAGACCAAACAAGTTCAAAGGATGGTCCTGGAACTCTGAACTTCATATAAAGGGATAATTAGGAGGATCAAAGACTTACTGCTGAGTGGATTTGGAGCAGAAGCCAGAAAGAAGGTGTTTTCTGATTTTCTGTGGCCAGAAAGTCCCAGTACAGCCATTTTGAATGGCAAGGAACAGATACAAGGTCAAGAGGGCACTCCAATACCTGAGGATTGACTGATCATTAGAGATAAAAGTGTGAACATTTCTTTTTTGTTCTTTTATTTTCCTCTATCTGCCCATTTCAATTCTGGGGACCAGAGGACGACACCTGAGTAAGTGGACACCTCCAGGGAAGGTAATACTACACACACGCAAGGATCGGCACAGAAGGGGTCACTGGGCATAGAATCAAAGAAGGTAAAAGAGTCAAACGCTTAAAATGGAGTATCTTTCAAACGGATCTGGGTAGCTCTGGGCTGGTTCTCATTAGGAGAAACACCTGGACAGGTATGAGGAGCGGTGAGAGAGGCAAAAAAGAAGAAAAAAAAAGGCCAAAACTACATCTTGAGTAACATTATAAGGTGCAATGGGAACACCTTGAAAAATTTCAGGCAGTTTTGAAGGCACGAAGCAAAAAAAGGGGTGTTAAAGTGTTACTCAAATTTTGCTATGTTGTTTTGTTGGGGTTTGTGGGTTTTTTTGGACAGTTTTAGACTTTAGTGTCCAGGCTAGGGTTTTTTGGTTCTCCATTTATCTTGGGTGGGCTCGTTCTCTCCTTGCCTTACCCAAAAAAGTGGCAGCAATTGCAGTCATACAGCCAAGGTACAATCATACTCTATAAAATCCCACCATCTGGGCAGAACAAATACCAGCTGCTATACACCAGAACAGCGTAAATAACCAACACCTGCTAAAATTACTCTGAGTTGAGTAGTAAGTGAAGTGAAAAGAGAAACCCATCTCCTGGTCACATCTACCAGGAGGCAATCAGAGAACTTAAGAATACACCAACATACATTCATCTGATTGTTGAAAATACATAGCACCACAATGTCTAAAAGGTAACAAAAAATTTCTGCCCATGTGCACAGACAAGATAGAGTAGCTGAGACAAATGAGTTGCAGATAGAGCTAAAATTTCCATTGGAAGAAGTGCAGGCTTTGGAACTGCCCAGTAAGGAATTCAGGGGAATAATATTGAGGTGCATCCAAATGATCCACAGAGATGTTGAGGAAAGCAAGGAAGAAGTCAGAAAAGTGCTACAGGCACAATCAAATAAGACAGAAACAGCATTGGAAATAATTAAAATCCTGCAAAAAGAGGTCCAGAGGATTAATACTAAAATATCAAAAATGGACAATACACTGAAAGAGCAAAGGACTAGAATTGAAGGGATGGAAGCCAGAATCAGAGCACTTGAATAGAGATCTCTCAATACTGCTAAGATAAAATAGCAAGCAGAAAAAAGGATGGAAAAATCTGAAGAAAGTCTAAAGATTCATGTGGGGCAACATGAAGAGGAATAACCTACAAGTGCTTAGAGTCCCAGAACAGGAAGAATCACAGAAATCCACAGAGGAGATAGTTGAAGAGTTGCTGG